GTACCTTACCTTACTACTAACTACACGTACGACGACTACTACTAACTTAGTACGACACTACACGACGACGACGTACTACCGTACCCCCACCCCCACCCCACCCCACCCCCCACCCCAACCAACCAAACAAACAAAACAAAACAACTACCTCCTCCTCTCTCTCTCTCTCTCTCTCTCTCTCTCTCTCTCTATCAATATACATATATGTGTATGTATGTATGTATGTTTGAAGACATTATGGGCTTCATTATTGAAATTTTTGAGTATCTCGTGTGCACAGCAAAAAGGTTACCTCGAGCCCAGCCTGCACAGAATCCAACAGGAATGGTTCTTGTGGATAGACCAGCAGAGCGTGCAAGAACTGCTGCCTGTTGTTCCTAGGTAATACGAACATGAGAAATATTTTCCCATTAGTATGGCTTGATATTAAGTAGTTTGTGAAGTGGTGATTTGGTATTTTTAATGTTCCATATTAAATAAATAAAAAAATGGTGATTTGGCGGTTTAATGGTTTTGCCTATTAATATAACTGGTTATTCCTTTGATTGATGAACAGACGATAGAACGGCTTGAGTTGAGATGCTGATTGATGTCGAGCTCCTTTCACCTTTTGAAAATGGCCGATGGGATTTGGCCCAAATTTCTATAGTGAATGGTTTATTCACCTCAACAAACACATAGCTTCTTGCTTCTTCACTATTTGCGGTTCTGAACTGTGTAAATAAGACATCTCTATATATCTTCTGTCCTGTAGACATGATGCCACAACTTGGTGGCCGTTATTATAATGTTACTCTGGGTCTCTCAACTGGCTTTATATGTTATATTTGTTCATTTGGGCTCTTAATGCATTGCTTGTTGGCATTGTTAATGGCATTTTGCAGTTCACATGTCGGGGAGGTTATATTCTTCTTTTCCTTTATTCTTGGTGATAATTTTCATGGGCAATGGAGAACTCCCAATTAGGAATTCGTGATTCCCTCGTTTGTTACTCGTGTGAAATATTTTATTTTTATTTTTATTTTTATATTTATACATCTTGAGGTTGAGATGATCAATTTGAGGGCTCTTCTAGTTAATTTTTTATGCTTGCTTTAATTTGATTGTTTAGGTCTTCAACCTTATATACTTTTTCCTTTTATCTTTTGATTAAGGAAAAAGTTTATATAAGGTTTCAACCTTAAAATGTTGAATTACGGATGCACCTTAAAAATCTATCGAAAAAGGTTATTTTAACGTAGAAAAACCACGTGATTGATCATCTCGACATCGAGATTTATGATTAAGTCAGAGATTTATGGCTATGAAAAATAAAAAGATTTTGAGTCTCATAAATGGTGCATCTTACAACATATTATCTACCTTGTCCATTTTTATATGTTTATATTATCTACCTCTATTCTATTATGGACGAGATTTTGCGTATCATCCTGGGAGCTTTCTCCCCCCGCTTCTGTCCCTCCACACCCTCCGTTTCTGTTGTTCTCTTTCTTTTTTTTCTTTGTTACTTTCTCTTTTAACATCTTCGTGTATTTCAGAGCAGTAGCTCCTTTATTTTGTTTTCTTTCTAATGATAGTTATTGTTAACAATAAATAAAAAAGAAAAGAAAAAAAGGGACATCATTCTACTCATAAGATTTTCCACTATAAAAGAGAGAGGTTTCTATACTCCCCCTCCCCCCACTGAAAAGTTCTATACACCCCTCCATTCAGTCGTCTAATTTAGATCAAATAAGTCATTGACCATTTGATAGAGATTTGACGTCTCATAGTATTTCATTTTTATTTTTTATTTTATAGAATATATGAATATGAAATTTGGTACGTGCCATTATCTCAATGGGTTGCACTTAAAAAAAAAATAAAAATAATATTTTTAATAAAGTAAAATGATCAAAATACCTCTGAAACTTTTAAGGGTATTTTGGTCATATTATTTTCTCTAGGATATTTGTTTTATATTTTTATCAGGTCCAAGTTTAAGAGAAGAGTGGACACCCAAAAGTTGGTGTTAAAATGTTTTGCATAAAAAAAAATAAAATAAAATAGTATAGATGTGTGACATATTAATTGGATCTATCTCAGCCGTTCATTCAGATCTGACACCTAAATAAATGAAAGTATAAGCCCAACGGCTCATATTGAATCTGGGCCGATCTGACGATCACGAATCGACGGTAGTTCTTGAATTTTATTTATTTATTTACAACTCTAAATTACTTGAAATTTTAGGTGTGTGTTCTTCTCATCAAGGCGCACCAAATAAAAATATAAAAAAATTTATTCGTAAAAAACAAGATGAATCTTTTCGGGGGTATTTTGGTCAATCCATTTCATGTAAAATATTTTTTGGATATTTTTCAAAGATTCACCTATTTTTGATAAACACAGGCCTAAAATTTCAAGTCATTTGGATATGTAAAAATAAATAAATTTCAAACACTACTGGACATCTGT